CTCGGCCTGGAGGGAGGTGGGCAGTGGGGTCCCACAGGGTTTGGTCCTCGGACTGATATTATTCAATAACTTCACCAGCGATTTGGACGAGGACGTGGAGAGCACCCTCTCCAAGTTCGCTGATGATACCAAGTTATGGGGCAAAGTTAGTACACCGGAGGGCAGGGAGCAGATTCAGGCCAACCTGGACAGGTTGGATCAATGAGCAGAGAGAAATAGGATGCAATTTAATAAAGATAAATGTAAGGTACTCCACCTGGGAAGGAGGAACCCCCAGCACACCTATAGGTTGGGGAGTGTCCTTCTCAGTAGTTCGGAGGTAGAGAGGGATCTTAGAGTCATAATTGACTTCAAGATGAACATGAGCCGGCAGTGTAACAAGGCCATCAACAAGGCCAATCGCACCTTGTCGTGCATTAGCAGGTGCATGACTAATAGAACAAAGGAGATGATGCTCCCCCTCCATGCAGCACTGGTCAGGCTGAAGTTGGAGTACTGTGTCCAGTTTTTGGTGCCGCACTTCAAGAGGGACGTGGGGAATCTGGAGAGGGTCCAGAGGAGGGCCACTCACTTGATTAGTGGTCTTCGTGATAGACCTTATGGGGGGAGGTTGAGAGCTGAATCTCTTCAGCCTTCACAAGAGACGGCTGAGGGGAGATGTTGTGGCTTCCTATAAATTTATTAGGGGAGGTCAACAGTTGAATAGGGGAAGCGCTGTTTACTAAGGTGCCCCAGGGAGTGACTAGGAGTAACGGGTGTAAACTAGTTGAGAGTGGATTTAGGTTAGATATTAAGAAGAAATTTTTCACAGTAATGGTGGCCAGGATCTGGAATGGGCTTCCAAGAGAGGTGGTGCTATCACCTAGCTTGACGGTCTTCAAGAGGAGGCTAGATAGTCACCTGGCTGGGGTCATCTGACCTCGGTCCTCTTTCCTGCCAGGGCAGGGAGTTGGACATGATGATCCATTGTGTTTCCTTCCGATTCTACAATCTATGAATCTATGAATCTACGAGGGAGCTGGCTGATTGCAGAGCCACTGGCCATCATCTTTGAAAACTCATGGCAACTGGGAGAGGCCCTGGATGACTGTAAAAAGGCAGACATAGTGCCCATATTTAAGAAAGGGAAAAAGGAGGATCTAGGGAACTATAGACTGGTCAGCCTCACCTTAGTCCCTTGAAAAATCGTGGAGCAGATCCCGAAGGAATCCATTTCTAAGCACTTGGAGGAGAAGAAGGTGATTAGGAATAGTCAGCATGGATTCACCAAGGGCAAGTCATGCCTGACCAACCTGATTGCATTCTATGATGAGATGACTGGTTCTATGGACACATGGGAGACCAGTAGATTTGGTATATCTTGATTTTAGCAACTGTCCACAGGCGAGCTAAGGAAGTATGGACTGGGTGAATGGACTGTAAGGCGGATAGAAAAATGGCTGGATCATCAGGCTTAGAGGGTATTAATCAATGGCTTAATGTCTGGTTGGCAGCTGGTATCAAGTGGAGTGTCCCAGGGGTCAGTTCTAGGGCCAGTTTTGTTTAATATCTTTATCAGTGACCTGGAAAATGGCCTAGAGTGCACTCTTAGAAAGTTTGAATATGACAGCAAGCTGGGTGGAGTAGTAGATATGCTGGAAGGTAGGGTTAGGATTCAGAATAACCTAGATAAATTGAAGGATTCAGTCAAAAGAATTCTCATAAGGAGTGCAAAGTCCTGCACTTAGGATGAAACAGTCCCATGCACCAGTACAGTCTGGAGGCTGACTGTCTGGGCAGCAGCTCTGCAGAAAAGGACCTGGGGGTTACAGTGGAGAATAAGCTGAATATGAGCCAACAGTGTGCCCTTGTTGCCAAGAAGGCTAATGGCATATTAGGCTGCACTGGTAGGAATGTTGCCAGTAGGTCAAGGGAAGTGATTCTTCCCCTCTATTCAGCACTAGTGAGGCTACATCTGGAGTACTGTGTTCAGTTTTGAGCCGCCCACTACAAAAAGGATGTGAATAAATTGGAAATGGAGATGGTAAGGGGGCTGGGGCACATGACTTATGAGGAAAAGCTGAGGGAAATGGGCTTACTTAGTCTAGAGAAGAGATGAAGGGGATCTACAGCCTTCAACTACCAGAAGGGTGGTTCCAAAGAGGATGGAACTATACTGTTCTCAGTGGTGGCAGATGACAGAACAAGGAGCAACGGTCTCTAGTTGCAGAAAGAGATTTTTAGATTAGATACTAGGAAGAACTCTCTCACTAGGAGGGTAGTAAAACACTGGAACAAGTTACCCAGAGAGGTCATAGACTATTCATCTTGGAGGTTTTTAAGACCCGGCTAGACAATGCCTTGGCTGGGATGATCTAGTTGGGGCTGGTCCTGCTTTGAGCAGAGGGTTGGACTAGATGACCTCCTGAGGTCCCTTCCAACCCTAATTTTCTGTGATTCTAATTAGTAGTCATTAATGGCTTAAAGTTTGTGTAGGATAAAGTATTGAGTCACATTCCCCATGGGGCTGGCCTGGGCTTGATACTGTTTATTATCTTAATTAGTGATTTGGAGAATGGGATTAAGTGCACACTTCACAATTTTGCAGATGACACTAAATTGGGTAGGGTTGCAGACACTCTGGAATATAGGGCTAGGATCCAGAATGACTTGGATAAACTGAAGAATTGATCTGAAATCAATCTAATGAAATTCAACAAGAGCAAGTACAAAGTCCTGCACTTAGAACAGAACAATATTGTGCATGGGCAGCTGGTGCCTCCTGAGTCTGGAGAGGCACCAGAATGCCGATGGGGAGGGGGGAAAGAGGGTTCCCCATGGCTGATTGCCGACTGGGGGTGGAGGGGGGAGGTTCCCCAGCAGCTGAACACTGAGAGTGGGGCGACCAGCAGCGAAACCAAATACAGAATGGGGAAGAACCATCTATATATATATTTTTTTTACAGTGAACTGTAAAAAAAGTGAACTGTATTGGTTGAAATACTGCAGAAAGGATCTGGGGGGTCAAAGGGGATCATAATCTGAAAGTGAGCCAATACTGTGCTCTAGTTTGCCAAAAAAAAAGACAATAAGATACTAGGCTGCATACATCACTTGCAAATCAAGAGATGTGATTCGCCTATTATTTTTTACACTGGTGAGGCCTCACTTGAAGTACTGGGTCCATTTCTGGGCCTCTCACTACAAACAAAACAAACCAACAAAAAAACAGTTCAGACAATCATTAAAAAAAAAGTACAGACAACCGGTGACATAGTTTTTGTATTCAAGTGATACAATTTAGAAGGAGTCTAGTGGAGCACAACAAAAATGATTAAAAGCTTGGGAAACATGAATTATGAGGACAGGCTGAAAATATTAGGATTATTTAGTTTAGAGAAGAGGAGACTGAGGGGGAATTTAATAACAATCTTCAAACAGCTAAAGGGCAATTAAAAAGAGGATGCAGTGTGGAAATGTGTAAGGAAAACATGAGGAAAGTAGGTTTTTTTAATGGGATTTTGGAGCAGAAGCGGGAACCAGAACCACGACTAGCTAAATTTCTGAGGGCCAACACCAGGTTTTCCAAGGACTTTGAGTACTTCATGGAATGTGGAATAGAAACCTCTTCGTCAACACTTTCATGATAGTGTGGGTTCCCAGCTTGAGTCATGAATGATTGCCAGTTCATATTCCTTTTTGGCTAATTAAAAAAGTGGGTGCCAAATTATTTCTTTTGTAATGCCGATTGTAGTACAAAGTGGTTGATAAGCTCTGCACTAAACCATTAGAAGATATAGATTTTTTCCCATACTATTTTGATGAAGCCAAAGCAGTTTCGCTTAGGTGATATTGACAGAAATAAATTGAATAGAAATAGAATATAGTTCTTTTGAAAAAACAACATTG